CAAACTGCTGACGCTCTCTCTCTCTCTCTCTCTCTCTCTCTCTCTCTCTCTCTCTCTCTCTCTCTCTCTCTCTCTCTCTCTCTCTCTCTCTCTCTCTCTCTCTCTCACTCACTCTCTCTCTCTCTCTCTCTCTCACACACACACACACACACACACATTGGTCCTATAATTCTAATGTCCCCTCTTTTTCCCCAGGCACCAAATATCAGGTAAGACCCCTACTTCTAATGGGAAAGACTTAAGCATAATGACTTATCCCTTAGTCTAGATGACCGTTGAGATATCAAGATATGTTCGGGCAACCACTTTTCTCCATTCTTCTCTACATGTATTTGCAGCCTTTCGAATGGCTTCACCCAACCATAAGCCTCTCCTTTCCGTTATCTTGTCTTCCCGTTTCTTTTTCTGTCTGCATTTCCGTTCCTTCATTTTTAGCCTACAGCTCCCTGTAGGATCATCTTTGGTAGCGTCCTGTTGATCTTGTGCCTATTAGCTACCATCTCAGTTTGCGGTTTTTCACAGTGGTGAGAAGATCTTTATAGGGCCCAGTGGCATCATGCCTGATTCTGTTTTTCACCTCCTCATTTGTAATTTGTAACATGACCTCTGTAGGATATGCCTAAAAGTCTTCGAACGTATCTTATTTCTGTATGTTTTTCTATCTGTATAGAATTAATGTTTTAAAGAATGTTTCTAGTTACTCACGTTTCAACTTTATTTTGACCGTTCGTAAATTTTTATTGCATAGTATATTTTTAGTGAACACATTTTCAACCTCACTGCGAGACTGTTTTTCTCGTATAAAATTTTACACATATATGCATTTATATTACATGTATAATACTTTGTTTTACGTACACACTTGTCGATTAATTTCTAAGATGTGATGTCTTTTTCATTGTAATGCGCATTGAGCATCTTTTAGGAAATGGAAATGCTCAGTATAAATGCTATTTATTATTATTATTATTATTTCTGTGGCGTGTATCTTTCTCTCTGGCTCTGCTGTTAGGGGCCTGTGCTTCTCAGGCGTACAGTAATATTGAAATGACCAAAGAATGCTTCAGTCTGATTTTCAGAACTGAATACAAATTTCATGCATAATAATGCTATGTAAATACAAGTATGGCACATTGACATGTATGTTATATTTGTATATATAGAAACATATTTTTTGTGTTCTAAAAGTGCACAGACTTAGTGTAAATGCAGTGCCTGAGTTAGACAATAATAATATTATAACCAGTACCGTTATTTGGCTTTGGAATAGCACCATGCACAAAGTCAAAGGTGAAAATGATTTTTTAAACCGTATTTGAAAATGCCACATATTCAAATAATATTAAAATTGCTATGCCGTTGAAGTGTGACAAAAAGTTTGAAGGATGTAATTGAAATGTTCCAATCTCGATGTCACCTATTAAAGTCTTTAATATATAGTGATCGAGGTATGTGTGTGTGTGTGTGTGTGTGTGTGTGTGTGTGTGTGTGTGTGTGTGTGTGTGTGTGTGTGTGTGTGTGTGTGTGTGTGTGTGTGTGCGTGTGTGAGAGAGAGAGAGAGAGAGAGAGAGAGAGAGAGAGAGAGAGAGAGAGAGAGAGAGTGTATGCGTGTGTGTTTGTATATAATATATGTGTGTGTGTCTGTTTGTTTGTATGGGTGTGTTTATATGAATGTTTGTGTGTGAGTGTGTGTGTGTGTGTGTGTGTGTGTGTGTGTGTGTGTGTGCATCCTTATGTGTCTGATACACATACATATAATAATAATTACTATTACAAACATGTAGAGATGTTGTGTGCTCCGGAGACTAAACTTACGTTATACTGAAAAAAGGGAGATAACGCTAAAAAATAAATTAATGATGTGTATTGCTGCGGTTACTTCTCTTTAAAAAAGCGACGCCGCATTCGAGTTTGTCCAGTCAGTTAAATCGGTTCGTTAGAATTACAAAGTTCTATCTCACATTTTTGGACCGCTTTGAGTTACTTAGGCCATCGAGTCAGAAACAAAATGTTCTATCTGCTCTATCAAAATCGTAAGATTACTCAGAGTAGTTCGCAAGATATTCACAGAATTGCATTAAAAATAGGGCTACTTTTTCCATCAAACATCTATCGTTCTTATCTTTTTTGTATTTGTTACTCTCTTGTAACACCTCTAATCTTCGGCATGTGTATTACCTCATTGTGTTGCAAGCGCCGTAAAGCACTTATTAAAACTAAACTGAAAAAGGCTGACATGTTGTGAAACTCAAACTTTTTATTAATGTCAAAGTTCTCAAAACTAAGTACTGAGCAGATAGACCTTTGTACTATCCTGTGTGGACCAGTCCGACGGATCTCCAGCCAGATTATAATGGAGACTGTAAGGAGACAGAC